TTGTGAAGTTGTTCAAAAAAATAGAATCACACAAAATAATTCAATATGAATTAAGCTAATGATCTCGACTGATCTGGCAACTCCATCCCCCTATTTCACCCGTCTGGAATATGGTAATAATGATCTAGAAATATATAATTTTCCCTATTTTAGGAAATTAAAAGCCTTGTATTTGAGGTGAAGCTTTGGGTAGAGCAACTGGCTGCTCCCCACATTACACTTCTCACCAGACTCGAGTTCAAATCCTTCCGATTCCCCCATCCCCCCACAATGTAAGTCTGCTCAAAAAAAAAAAGAAAAACAAGAAAGAAAAAAAAAAGCCTTGTATTTGAGGAAAAATCAAAACACCACCATTTCGCAAGAATCCCTCAGTTTTTTTCATTTGTTTTATACTTTTATTGTGGTTTTAACAAAAAGATCCATGACATGCATGATCAAGGCAAAAAAAGCATCCCCATTGACCAATCTTCATAAAGATGCTCACACATTTTCATCTTCTTCCCTCCACAAGTTTAGCTACGTTTCCAAACTACAGAGATATCCAGAGCAAGATTTAAATATAGTTGAAACTCAAAATGCAACACGGTGCTTTGCATTCTTCAGCCAGAATGATAGAAACAATTACCAATTGCAGCACCTGTCAAAGAACAACAAACATCGATGCATATCAAGAACCTAATGTCAACTCCTTTTTTTCTTGCTGAAAGTTAAAACTAAAACGATACCCACTGAGAAAAAGCAATACGTACAAACTGAAGGAGTCAGTGCTAAGTAGGAAAGGTCTAAGCTTTGTGATTCTTCACCATCTCATCAATATCAAGTTCTACTTCAAGCACGGGTGAGTCCCTTCTCAAGCTGTAATGACTGTTACAGGGTTCACAAAGATCATCAACAAAGTCTTTACCAATTTATGATTGAATAGTTCAGAAAATGAGAGGCAAGTAGCTAACCTGTTCAGCACAGGACCATGATCAACAGCTGTTCGTAAACAATAAATAACCCTCCCAATAATGTTCGTCATGGGAATGGGACCAAATAGTCGACTATCTTTTGCTTCCTGTCATCCAAAGAAAGGAGACGCAAGCATAGCTACATCAGCCACTTCATCTTTGCAAAACCAGTAGCACAATACAACTATGTCATGTAGGCATGTCAAGGTATATTATACTAAAATCCAGTTACCAGCATAGGACGCCAAAACACCTCACTGATATTTTAAAATGAGTTGGAGAATTTATCCAAAAGCAGCTTAAGAAACAAGCACACCAGAATTTTTTTTCCTGTTTCAATTCTATTTTATCTAGTTGATTTAAAATCCCAAATAAATGGAACGGAAAAAGTTCTTCGGCTGTGCCGCCTCAGAGGTGACTTGAGGAGGCCTGAAAGAAGGCTTCTCAGATCCACAAACCTCCTGTCTCTGCAGCAGGGGCTAGGAAGGCACCTAGATGGTAATGTTGGGAGGCTGGTAAAGATTATAAACATAAACTACCAAGAACATGCTAAACAAAAATCACTTGCCCTTTTTATTTATCAATGATGACACATAGGCCATAAGCCATGAGAACCATGAGACAATAGACTAGAATAAGCATCAAATGCAGCTAAAGTGACATTGTAAAGGTACCATCTATCCAACTTCAAGAAGGAAACTTAGGATCTGGGTAGCTGATTCATGTGCTAAATTATGCAAAATTTTAATTTCTCTCTTCTATTTTCCACAAGGTGAGGACAAGTTGGAAGAAATCCCAAGTGCCAGCTTTCTCTAATCTCAATAGCGCTAATGGCTTCATATAAGTTATTGATACCAATTTATTAATATTTTATACCTTAGGCTTCAATTTTTCATTGTCAGCCAGCACCCAGCACTGGTCCTCTTCAAGGGTAAATGGCTCATCTTTTTCATCAGTGGACACCATTTCATAGCCTTCAACAGCAGCTAGTCTTCTGACCAGATGGTTATCCCGATTCTCAGGGTCCTTCAAGACCACAACATCTCCAACAAAAACATGGCTGTCCAAATATTTGGCATAATTCATAAATAAAAGTTATGAAAATGTAAAGTCTTAGAAAAAGAGTAAATTTTCAATTAAAACCTGTATAAAGAATAATTAAACTGCAAACATTCTTTTCTGCACAATAAAAAGGTATTCTAAGAGAAAAAGAGAAGTAAAATTACGATGTATCAGCATCTGGTATCTTCCGAACAAGAAGAGTTCCGCCTTTTGCTCCTAAAGTTGGAGTCATTTCCTCTCCTTTATCCCAGTGCAAGTAAGTCAACCTTCCCTGAAATAGATTTTTCACAACTTGATGCATTTCTCGGTTAGTGATTTGACCTCCCTTATAATTCTGCTTCACATTTGACAGCATGTTAGAACAATCTAGACAGAACCAATATACACCAACAATCTTCAGCATAATTATAGGCCTTGTTAAGGCATTGGAAGAACCATGTGGAAGCAATGCATGAAGAAAAGACGTAATCTACTCATTGAATTTACATAGGAAAGCAGTAATGTAAGTGCCTTTCAAATAATGCAAGGATAATCAACAAATAATTGAAAATGCTTTTTCTTGTTTCAAACTTGAGTAATGGTTCTTTCCACCATGAAAGACCTGTCCTAAATTGCAAACTTCAAGACTCTTTTTATTTTCTTACAGTTTCTTTGAAATTTACCTATTAAGTTTTTCATGTGTCCAAACCTAGGCGACAAGTTCAACTTTGGTGAACTAGCAAAAAAGTTGCAGATGAAATATGTCCAAGTTGGTCACAGGATGAATGATCCAACTTTGATGTAATTTTGGTTTAATCATGTACCAAGAGAAAACAAAACCAGCTGGACTGATTTCTGGGCCCTACTTGAATATGAAGAAAGGCAAACAAAATGGTAAAAAAGACAATACAGAATTCTTTGAATTCAATAGTTTGCCTTTTCTTCTCTATTTCTCTAAGACCAAATTAAAGGTAATTAGGAAATTGCGAATCACTATTGTTATATTGACCTTATTTATCTATTCCCTTCTTTTTGACCTCAGTGAATAATTGTTTTCTAAAAATTAATGCATAGCTAAGATACTTCCTCATCCTCATCAAGGACATAAACCCATTTTGAAAGCCAAAACAAGCAGATTCTTTCAAACTTGGAAAAGAGACGGGTAAGATCATCTAACATTTAATCAGGATCAGGGCAAGCTAGTTCATACTGGTCTTCTGAAAAGCCTACACATTTACAGAAAATTTTTTGCCATGCCCCCATAAAGCTTACTAGTGAAGGGAATAGTGCATAATTTTCAAAATTCTAGAGCAGCATTCAATCAATCAATCAGTAATTTCATTGTTAGATCGAAACTACCCTACAGTAGTTGCCTAAGAATCTTTGGCTAGTTCTCACTGTAGCTATCATTTACACACTACACCAAAATTTTCCTTTGCATTGAAAAAATGAAAGAAAAGAAAAAACTTCCACACTTATATTGACCATGCCATGAGTCCTTTTCTCCCACTTGATGCCATGGTGATCTGAAAAGATCAGTTGAATTCTAAAATTATATGATCTTCCCCCATTTTTCAAACTGGAGAGCACCATCTTTTATTCCAATATAGCCTTCATTCAATACAAATGCATTCTTCCTTTTTTTCAGCTAAACATAGACTTTCACATGGTTTCAACATTCATCCTAGCAAACAGGTTCCCAAACAAAACACATTCTAAAAACACCATCATCCTGAATCTTTTGTTAATCTTCCAAGAATTTCCATTACAACTTTATGAAAAAACACAAAGGACAAACCCAACACACAACATGAAATTTGTCAAAAATACACCTCAACTCAACCCACATGCCAGTCTCGTGAGACTCAAAAAGAGAGTAGCAGATCAGAATAAAAATTCAATATTCATTTAGAAGCTACCAAATTTTCTCCTTTTAACATAAAAGGGGGCATAAACCAATCAAAGCTTAAATCAAATGGTCAACACAACATTAATGTTAAGATAAACAAAACACTCTAAACACCCATCATAGATTACTCTAATTACCCAGAAAAGTTCAAACTTTGAAAAGAGGAAAAAAATGCAAACAGCACTGAATTGACACAAATAGCAGAAATAATTAACACCCAAACCCCAGAAAGATTCAAACTTTACTCGATCAAACAACCCCCCAAAAGCAAATTCCATATACTGAATCAACACACAATATAATCAACCCACTTCAAAATACAAAAGATAATCAACAAAAAAAAAAAACAACAGGAACAAAAGGGATGGAGAGGGAGAGTGTGACCTTCAAGCTAAGAGAGATGGAGTACTCGAGCTTGTTGGCGAAGTAACGGCACCAAGTGGATAGAGAAACCATTGCCGAGCAAATGGGGACTGTATTACGTTCTCTGGATTTGCAGTTTCCGTCGTCTAAATCGGATTTGTCAAACCCCACCAAAATTTTCCTCTCTTTTATTTTGGTTTTCACCGGCAATTTGAACGCCGTTAAAAATGATTTATTAAAGGGGATAATCATCTCTGGAGATGGATCGGGTAAGGGTTATTCGGGGACCCGCTACACTGATTACAGATCAGGTAAAACGCATTTATTTTATTTTATTATTATTATTACTTTTTTTTTGGTACATTTATTATTATTATTACTTGTTTAAGAAGGTAAAACCCATGGTTAGAGATTAGGGTTTTACTCTTTTTTATTTTTATTTTTTCATTTGATGATGAAAAAAAATGAAAAAATTAGGTCGAACTCAATACTAAAAATGTTAAGATATATAATCACATTTATTAAATATGTAAAATGTGAGTTTTAATTTTTTGTGGAACTCGATATTAAATTTGAACTTAACTTTTTTTTTTTTTTTTGATCGATGTTACATGGGGCGGGTTTGAACCCTACTCAAGGGGGAGAGGGAGGGGAAATGCATCTTCAATGTGGTCGGAGACCACTTGACCCGAAGGGTCAGATGCAAATTTGAACTTAACTTGTTTATTAAAGAAGTTAGAGTTTAAATCAAATAACTCATATGTTTCTTATGAATTACTCTACTCATTAATAATTTTAATTAGAATATACTAATTTTTCCTTTTTTCTCTATGATAATACACTCTATTTATAGAGTTAAGCTACAAAAAATGATTTATTCTTTTTACAAATAATTATATTGAATGCATTTATTCAATTAATGGTATATAAAAATTATAAAAATTTTGTATAAAAAATTGTTTCATATCATTATTTGTCATGCTAGTACACAGGAGTACATAAGAAAATGTGCTCATTTACTTATCTGTTAAAAATTTAAAGAAAAATTAACAAAACTATGTTATTTTAATACATTTTCATTTAAAAAAAAAACATTTTTTAAGGTGAAAACAATAATTTTAAGATAATTTTTTCGGTTAATTTTAATAAAGGTAAGTAGATATGTACAAATAAAATATCAAAATAATTAATTTTTAAAAATAATATAATTATAATATTATATAATATTATAAATTTATAATTTTAATATTTTATTATACAATTAATTAATTTTATTTAATATTTATCTACAATAATATATATAAAATCTTCTATAACATTATCAATATATTACGACTGTTTACTCTTTATAGAAATTAACTTAAATGTGTCCAATAAAAGGAAAAGAAAGCGTAAGTACATATCTTATAAAAAAAATAATATATAATTTAAATTATGTAAGATTATATTATATTAATTATTATCATATATGAGTTAATTTTTTTAAGTTTTTTTATTCAATATTTAATATTTTAATATTTTAATTTTATAATTTAAATTAATTCAAGTTATAAAACAAAAACTATAACCGGTAATATCAAATACCCAACTTCTACTAATGTTTATAATTCACATTCATTTAAATTATAAACACTTTTTCATTATATTTTACTACAAATTAGAGGGAAAATAGATTCTCATATATTTTATAAAAAAGGAAAATAATTTTAAAATAATTTTTTATATTAATTTTTATATAATTTATTATATTATAATTAATTTTTTTAATTTATGTAAATATGTA